GAGTCAACACATATAATACTTCTGACTTCTCTTGTATCAGTTTTACAGATGTCAAATAGTTTGAAACATCAAGAAGAACAGACCACCTCTGATTTTATTTTTAACACCTGTAATTCTTCCACACTATAAGGCAGGCACGTCCAACTCTCTAGAGGCGGCGATATACTCCCAGTATAATAAAAATGGCGGTGATCTACCCATTGTTGAGCTTTTTTGGGGGGGGAATATTGGCAAGAGTTGTTCAGCTTTTTTTCGGGGAGGGGGTTAGCACAAAGTTGTTGAGCTTTTGGGGAAGGATTCATATAAAATAATAAAACAAGCGGGGCGCAGCGTGATCAGTCAGGAGCACCCAAGCGATCCAGATTAAACACTCTCTTTCTCTCTCTCTTTTTATTAAAGATTTTCTTATTTTACAGAAGTATGTGTAATGTCTTTCGTATTTTTTCCATGTAACATTTTTACAAATCCGTTTCAGAAACACCATAACCAGACACTGGAGAGACCTGTCAGGAGTAAGCATGGACCAATGGTACCAAATAGTATGGGGAACAGCCTTCCTAGAAAAATTAACCAATAAACCAAAACTGACACGGGGACAAACAGAAGAAGACGCCTTTACCCCGGTATGGCTCCCCTTTATCACATACACAGCCCAACAAGACAGTGACAATAATGCACCAACAGCATACAAATCAATATGGCTAACCTGATCCAAAACACCTACCCACCCCACTCACACACGAAAACAAAGATCACCACAGCCAATCACAAACAAACAACCACACCCTAGGCCAACCCCAACCTCTCTCACCACCAAAGGAGCACAAGTGAACAGCACAAGTGAACAGCACAAGCAACGCTGACACTCTCTCTCTTATATACACACACATACACTCCTTAGATCCTTAGGCACTATCAGTAACCTAAGTGAAATAAGAATTCTAATGCAGGCAGCGTACGCCTTGAAAAAGCAGCTCAGTACCAAAGTGCAGGCAACAGTTATCGCTGCAAGACATTTCACAGCTACAGTTGTAGCCTCACACTGGCTTGCCTCTGTGGTTGGGCAGTAAAGCTACATTGGGAAGGGATATGTGTTGCAAGAGATACGTTTCTGTGTGGGGATTTTGCCAGCTGGGACTAAAAGCTTAGAGAAAGAAACGTTTCCACAAAGCCTGACTTTGCAAAATTTCCAGAGCACTTTTACTGATTCGTCAAGTCATTTCCTTTTCAGCTCCAAGAGGTCCCTGCAGTTTTGGGAGCTTACCCAGATCAGGCGTGCAGCCGACTACACTTTTTAGAGGATCAAGCAGCTGGGCCCTTCCAGCCAGAAATCTCCAAAGGATTACGTTAAATCCACACACAGCCAGGTGATTTTCGCTCACCCACAGTTTGGACAGCTTACTTCATCTCTAGTCCAGCTGTCTTGTCAGTCCTCCAAGCATTACATTCAGATTGAACGCTGCAGGATCATCTGGCATCTTCCTTCCTGCTTTCCATGTACATGCAGGCAGATAGTCAACAGGAGTAGCTCACAGAAAGGGTGAAAAACTTGGCACCATTTAATCTGACACTTTAGATGGGGTTGGAGTTGGAAGTGGTCAGTCAACACACACACACAAACACAAATATCTGTAAACTGACTGGTTAATTATAATCAAGAATTGTTAAATATTCAAAACGTTAAGCCTGTGGCCCTAATCATGTTGACTCAGACATAGGCGCCATTAAACTCAATGGAACTTACTCCCAGGTAAGTAGGGCTAGGATTGCAAGCCTGATTTATTAGAACAACAAACAGAGGAGATTTTGCTAATTATGAAAACTGGGGTGAGTGACCTCAGAAAGAGGGGGGTAAATGTGGCCCTCCAGACCTTTCTATCTGGCCCCCAGGACTCTCAAGTGTTTTTGCCTAGGGTTTTTGTCCCTGAAAGTTGAGCTTTTTTAGGAAAACCCAAAACGTTGTTGAGCTTATTTTAGACAAACCTCAAAGTTGTTGAGCATGTATTTGACTTGCCTAAGATCCAGGACAGAAATTCCCCCTGGATGTCAATTCTGCCTTTGAAATCCCAGTAATGTTCAGGAAAATCTGGATGTATGACAGTCTATTTTTGCGCTCTGATTATCCTTCTTGTTTGCATGGATGAAGGAATGGGGGCGGGTAGAGAGTGCTTTCTTTCTCCCCACCCCCCACCCCAAAAAAAGCTTGGGAGAAGTGAGATAATCCCTTCCGACTCTACAACACAACAGATCAAATAATCTATTTTCATGGAGCACATCTGTCTCTTCAGCCACAATCAATTCATACCCTCCAACATTTCTCCAATGAAAATTAGGATGTCCTAGTACCAAAGAATTTACCATTATTATTATTATTATTACCACCCTGACCATCTGGGCTGGAGCAACCTAGCCCAACATATTTTTAAAAAACATAAAGGTAAACATTAGGTCCAGTCGCTCATCTCACTTTATTGGCCGAGGGAGCCAGCGTACAGCTTCCGGGTCATGTGGCCAGCATGACTAAGCCGCTTCTGGTGAACCAGAGCAGCACACGGAAATGCCATTTACCTTCCCGCCGGAGTGGTACCTATTTATCTACTTGCACTTTGACATGCTTTCGAATTGCTAGGTTGGCAGGAGCTCACCCCGAGTGACAGGAGCTCACCCCATCGCGGGGATTTGAACCGCCAACCTTCTGATCAGCAAGTCCTAGGCTCTGTGGTTTAACCCACAGCGCCACCCGCGTCCCTAAACAACAACAACAACAACAAAAACCATAATTAAACATTAAAAACTTCCCTAACTTCCCTATACAGGGCTGCCTTCAGGTTGTATAGTTACTTATCTCCTTGGCCCAGGGGTCACAAAACTCTATACCCTCCAACATTTCTCCGATGAAAATAGGGATGTGCTAAGAAAAAGTGGGACATTCTGGGATCAAAACAGAAACTGGGATGGCTTCTGTAAATCCAGGACTGTCCCTGGAAAATAGGGACACTTGGGGGGGGGGTCTTTCAATGCAGGTCACACTGGATCTTGATGGGATCTTGTTATTTTATTTCTGCAACCACCTCAGAAAGCTCTTCTGCAGGAGTAACAAATATGGTGTCTCCTGACATTATTGGACTCCACCTCTCATCAACCCCAGGAACATCTGGAAGGACTTATCCTGGCTACCCATGCTCTACTTCCTGAAAGGTGGTATATAAATCTTTTAGATGAACAAATGTGTTTGGTGAACCTCCTAGAAAGACGAGTGGATGGAAAGGCCAGAGAAAATGAATCTAAGGCTCTTCGACCCAAATATATATGACCCGTTATAGCTCTTCTCTCTTATGACACGCCATTTCAGGAGCGTTCCTAAGCGGCTGTCAAAAGCTTTCTTGGCGGAGAGAGCTGAAATGGTCAAGGGACTGGCAAAGGACACCCCCTGGGACTGCCAAGTGTCAGAAGCATGCTGGAAAAGCGGGAGAGAGGGGGAAGAAAAGAACAGATCAGCTTCTAGTGACAGGTAAACTGGTGGTTAGGCTGTCTGCATAGTCAGGTTTAAAAGAGAGCATCAGAGGGCACAAAGGCAGCAGATGTTCGGCAGCATTGTTATTCAGCACGCACACACACACACCTTCTTTGTGTACAAAGCTGTTAAAAAGTGCTAATTCTGATCTTGTTAACTCTCTTAAAAATGGGGGGGGGGGAGCAGTAGCAGCCAGTCTGATGAAGAAGAATGGCAGAGCTTACCTCCTGACAGCAGCATCACTGGACCACAGTCAAAGCACTTATCCGTGTCCACATTCTGTGCATGTCCTGTCATGCTGTCAGTGTAATGCGCTGGCCCCTTCCCATGTGCTGTTGGCACACCCAGTGTTAGTTCCATCCAGGCCACTGATTGCTGGTATGAAAATTCTATATGTGCATCGGCCCACGACCATTGTAAGTTAATTTAAGCATGACAGTGCTCATGTGAAGGACTTGCAATGGCCAAAGGTGCCTGCGCTTACATTAATATTTTGGACTACAACTCCCATCAGCCCCAGGCAACATTGGCAATGATCAGGAATGATGGAAGTTCTCATCAAGAGCACCACAGGGGGTGGGGGTGGGCATATCCCAGTTTGGAGAAGACTGGTGCATTAATAGGCCTAAGTGAAGGATCTGTCAATTTGGGTTGTCTCCATTTTTTCGTTTTTTGCATTTTGCGGCAATTTGGAGGGGAGGGGATTGTGAAAATTCGACAGCATTTTAAGGCAAATACCATGTTTTTATAGGCATATATAAATACCTTTTGGGAAGCAATTTTCCTTAATATAATGCATTTGTGTGTGTTATTTCACCAAGGTATTCATTTTTATGCACACTCTCCCTGAATACATATATTTTTGTAAACGTTGTTTGGTTGGCAAACTGCATAGTGGATTTTGGATAAGTGCTAATTTTGAAGGGTAGACGTGCTTCAGTTTGCATAATGATTTGGAAAATGCAAACTTGAGAGATTTGTCTGTGAATGAGACCTGAGTCAAATTTCTCCACCATCCTTAAAGGTAAAGTGACCCCTGACCATTAGGTCCAGTCATGGCCGACTCGGGGTTGTGGCGCTCATCTTGTTTTATTGGCCGAGGGAGCCGGCGTACAGCTTCCGGGTCATGTGGTCAGCATGACTAAGCCACTTCTGGCGAACCAGAGCAGCGCACGGAAACGCCGTTTACCTTCCCGCCGGAGCGGTACCTATTTATCTACTTGCACTTTGACGTGCTTTCGAACTGCTAGGTTGGCAGGAGCAGGGACCAAGCAACGGGAGTGCACCCCGTCGTGGGGATTCGAACCACTGACCTTCTAATCAGCAAGTCCTAGGCTTTGTGGTTTAACCCACAGCGCCACCCGCACCCCCCACTTAGGAAGCTGTTTTATATGCACCATTTTTTAGTCCACCTTGATCAACAATGTGCAAACTGATAGGTAGCAGCTCTTCAGGGTCTTAGGCTGGGGCCTCTTCCAGGCCTACCTGGAGATGCCAGGTATTGAACTGGGGACCCTCTGCATGCAAGGCAGATGTTCTGTCACTGAGCTACACACCTTCCCATAGACTCATGGGGAACAGGGCCAGATTTAGGTTTGATGAGGCCCCAAGCTACTGAAGGTAATGGAGCCCTTTATATGTCCAGCTGTCCTTTGTCAACAACAAATTGTCACTGTTTTTTTGTGTTGAATATATGCTATATGGTAATTTATGGACCTAATAGGTATCTAAAGCCATTTGCACATGTTGCCGTGCAACTAGTCAATGCAGAATGTAGGCACCCTATATATAGAAATGAGCAAACCAGTTATATTTTAGGGAACAGGTGAGAAGGCAGGGTCCATTATTTGCATCATAGGAGCCTGCACAACACAACCACTGTTGCTGTATGTAGCTTTTATTTTATTTGTTTTTTTATCTTATATTTTGGAAATACACATCCAGGTTTTTTCCCTTTAGTTTTTTTGGGGGGCCCCCAAGAGAGTGGGGCCCTAAGCTATAGCTTGTTTAGCTTATACGTAACTTTGGCACTGGTGGGGAGTCTGGAACACACAAATATAGAAGAAGAGAGTTTGGATTTGATATCCCGCTTTATCACTACCCTAAGGAGTCTCAGAGTGGCTAACAATCTCCTTTCCCTTCCTCCCCCACAAGAAACACTCTGTGAGGTGAGTGAGGCTGAGAGACTTCAGAGAAGTGTGACTAGCCCAAGGTCACCCAGCAGCTGCATGTGGAGGAGCAGGGAAGCGAACCCGGTTCCCCAGATTACGAGTCCACCACTCTTAACCACTACACCACACTGGCTAATATGCATCCACATGAGCCCCACAGCACATGGCCTGCCATTTTGTATGCCACAGCTGGAGAGGTTTGTTTCCAACTGTGAGTGTGATAACACAGCATAGGACAAGCATGTTTTTCCAATATATCTTGAGCTCAAAAGAACAAGCACCCCTTTGTCTTTCAAGTCAGTGTGGAAAAAGCTATTTCAGGTACTCTGTCTGGTAGGCAGAAAAGAATCAGTAATGTGTTGTGTGTGTTTTTTGTAGGGTGGGAGTTTTCAGGCAGTTGTGAGAATAAGGCCATCGTAAGTAGAGTTTTCCTTTTTCCAGCCATGAAATATTGGAAAGTATTCACTCTACCAGCATTGAAAAGGAGGAAAATTACATCTTCGCACCCAATCTACTTTGTGAAGGATCAATGCAATTTAAAACCAAACACACACACACACAAACCCCAAGCCAATGAAAAATTCCCTCTCCACAATGTTGGGGAAGAGTTTGACACAGCTCAGCTAAAAAGTCCCTGAGGACTTATGATTGATTTTGCAAACGTGATACTTATCTCCGTTAAATAGTTATGCTACAGCTTTAATCAAGATCGAATCAAATGGCAAACAATAAATTACCCGGCAAAGTTCACACCTGAATTAATAAACAACCATTGTTCAAGGATGGGGGGTGGGGGGTGGAGCAATAAAAAACCCTTGAGAGTCCAATGTAAGGCCATGATTTAGTGGAATGTGTTTTTTTTTTCCCCCCTTGGTCTCTTTCCTGTGGTGGTTCAGCGTGAATACTAAGGAGATAATGCAAAATGCTAAAATGCCATGTGCTCAAGGGAATGAATTAACTGACTGCCAAATATCGCAAGCAGGTTGTATTCTGCCATGAGCATCAGGGCTACTTTTAAAAACATATCTCAAAATGTGGTAATTAGAATTACAACTGTCCTGTGTACAATGTATAAAAGGAGGGGGAAAATGTGTCCAACATATATTACATTTTTATCTCACTCTTCCTCTTCTCCCATCCATTTCTTAGTTAGACTGGTTCCCTCCTTGTTGTTCTTCTGTCAGCAGATAAAGACTTTTTTATTTCAACAGGTCTGTGGGAATTGACTGTTTTATCAGGTAAGGGCTGGTGCTGTGGTGTTTTTTTTAATTGTCATTGTTATTCGTATTACGGTAGATCTGTCCCCCCCCCCCCCCATTGTTTAATTTTACTTGTGTTTAATTTATTTTTAGGGATGGACTTTTCCATGCTTTTAGCATTTCTCTTATCAGTGTTTTGTATTTTTATTTGTAAGATGCCTGGATTCCTGGTCTGGGGGTGAAAGTGGGATAGCGATAAATATAATAAAGATAGTAATAATAGTGGTGATAATTTCTGCCTAACAATGAAAAGAGTGTTCAGAGGAGACAGAGCATCTCCAAATACAGTGGTGCCTCGCAAGACGAAAAGAATCCGTTCTGGGAGTCTCTTCGTGTAGCGGTTTTTTCGTCTTGCGAAGCAAGCCCATTGACGGATTAGCGGATTAGCGCTATTAGCGCTATTAGCGGCTTTTAGCGGCTTTTAGCGGCTTATCAGCTTATCGGATAAGCAGATAAGCGGCTTAGCGGCTTAGAAAAAGGGGGGGAAGGGGGAAAAAATCCAGGAACTCGCAAGACATTTTCGTCTTGCGAAGCAAGCCCATAGCAGATTCGTTTTGCGAGGCACCTCCAAAACGGAAAACTCTTTCGTCTAGCGAGTTTTCCGTCTTGCGAGGCATTCGTCTTGCGGGGCACCACTGTACTAGTTGCTGAGAAGAATGCTGTTGTACTCAGGCTTCACTTGCAGGCTTCCCATAGGCATGCATTTGGCCACTGTGTGAAGAGAGTTTCATGGAGTTTCATAGAATTGTAGACTTGGAAGGGACCCTGAGGATCATCTAGTCCAATCCCCTGCAATGCAGGAACATGCAGCTGCCCCATTTGACAATTGAACCTGCAACCTTGGCGTTATCACCACCACACTTTAACCAACTGAGAATGATGGATCAGAAAGGCTTTGGGCCAGACTCTTATATTCAGATTACACCCCCCCCCATCCATGCTTTAGAAGCTGGGGGTCGCAGGGTCATGGAGGTTAGCACCACAGCTGTCCTTATGTTTGCATGAGCATGAAGGGATTCTCTGCATGTGCTGATGGTGCATACAAAGAGCTCCTTCACATGAGGGGCAGGGGAAGGTCCTGTTTGGACCATGCATGTGGTTTCTGGAGGTATGGGTAAAAGGTAAAGGCAAAGGACCCCTGGACAGTTAAGTCCAGTCAAAGGCGACTATGGGGTTGCAGTGCTCATCTCGCTTTCAGGCCGAGGGAGCCAGCATTTGTCCACATACAGCTTTTCTGGGTCACGTGGCCAGCATGACCAAACCACTTCTGGTGCAATGGGACACCATGACAGAAACCAGAGCGCACAGGAACGCTGTTTGCCTTCCTGTCGCAGCGGTACCTATTTATCTACTTGCACTGTTGTGCTTTCAAACTGCTAGGTTGGCAGGAGCTGGGACAGAGCAACGGGAACTCATCCCATCATGGGGATTCAAACTGTCAACCTTCTGATCGGCAACCCCAAGAGGCTCAGTGGTTTAGACCACAGCACCACCCATGTCTTGTGTGGACAAGACAGTGAGCAGAAGTAGCCCACGTGGCTTCATGAAACTCCTCTCCTCCTCCATTCTTTAAATATGTGGGGAACATTGATTCCTGTAACATATGGATCACCAACATGGCTCCCATGGGTGCAAACACAGAGGCTTTCCCAGGCATTGGTAGGGTTCCATCCCCACCACACCATCTGCTGAATTTAAACTTGGAAGTGGTAGGGCATCTACTCTACATGCAGAAGGTCCCAGGTTCAGTCCTCAGCATCTCAAGGTAGGGCTGGGAAAGAACTCTTGCCTGAAAACCCTGGAGAGGTGCTGCCAGACAGTGTTAACAATACAGTGGTACCTCGGGTTACAGATGCTTCAGGTTACAGATGCTTCAGGTTACAGACTCCGCTAACCCAGAAATAGTCCCTCAGGTTAAGAACTTTGCCTCAGGATGAGAACAGAAATCGCGTGGCAGCAGTGGGAGGCCCCATTAGCTAAAGTGGTGCTTCAGGTAAAGAATAGTTTCAGGTTAAGAACGGACCTCCAGAACGAATTAAGTTCTTGAGTACTTGAGGTACTACTGTACTGAGCTCATGGTCTGACTCAGGATAAGCGAGTGTCTTATGTTCCCTGTGTTTCTTTAAATATCCTGATGGAAAGAAATAGGACTCCTTTGATTTCCATAGGAACTGTTTGCAGCATCTGATGGGAAAAGCCAGCTTACGGTTAAGATAAAATTGTCTATGTAGATATCTCTGAAATATGCAGACTTATGGATCCAAATAAGCTGATGGACCCGTACAGTGAAAAGCAATGGAAAATTAGCTACTCTGGCAGTTTTCCCCTTTGGCAAAGAGTTAAGCAAACACAATTCGCAGTATGCAATCTTGTTCCATTGTAAATTTACATATCTTTCATTGTCTCGCCATTGTCTCTTCCTTTGCCTTCTTTCTCCGTACGTATAGGAAAAAGGATTTAGATGGGGGGGTTGAATGATTTCAAGAAGAGCTGAGAAAATGAGCTAGAAAGTGGTGACAATGCTACTAAATAGGTAGGAGCGATAACAGTTGCAAATTTAACCAAAGGGAAGACTATCCTCCATCCAAGGCAGATGCTGGCAAGGAAGAACCCTATTGACCTCCTAACAATCTGGCAATATCTCACAGAACAAAAGCCCAGCCGCAAATCCATTTATAATTGAAGAATGAAGGAAAGGGGAACTTTAGTATGCCAAATGTGTAAATTTAAGGTAGGCTTAGTGATGTGCTAAGGGACGCGGGTGGCACTCTGGGTTAAACCACAGAGCCTAGGACTTGCCGATCAGAAGGTCGGCGGTTCGAATCCCTGCAACGGGGTGAGCTCCCGTTGCTCAGTCCCTGCTCCTGCCAACCTAGCAGTTCGGAAGCATGTCGAAGTGCAAGTAGATAAATAGGTATTGCTCTGGCAGGAAGGTAAACGGCGTTTCCGTGCGCTGCTCTGGTTTGCCAGAAGCAGCTTAGCCATGCTGGCCACATGACCCGGAAACTGTACGCAGGCTCCCTTGGCCAATAAAGCAAGATGAGCGCCGCAACCCCAGAGTCGGTCATGACTGGACCTGGTGGTCAGGGGCCCCTTTACCTTTACCTAGTGATGTGCTGAACGGCTCACTA